ACCCTTGGTCTGCCTGGCTCACATTGCTGCTCCCCACCATAGCTGGGCCACTGCTATTGCTACTTCTCGGGTTAACTATCGGCCCATGCACTATCAATTGGTTAGTACAGTATGTCAAGAGGTGAGTTGGTGAAATAAAAATTTATGATTAGGTCCCACTATGTTGGCTTAGTTCCTAATGATGAATCAAGGGATTGATTCCCGGACAAGAAAAGGGAAATGTAAGGATAGGGCTAACCTGTAGCCTTAAGAGATAACATCTATTGTTTTAACTCTGTAGGTTAAGAGATAACAGCCTTATCCTATCAATCAAGGGATGGATTAGCGCTTGATTGGATTGGGGCAAGGGCCTGTTTGAACTGTTTCCACCTGGGAACTATTCCTTTGTTCTGTTCCCAGGTGATAATAATACGATGTGGTTGGCTATAAAAACAATGTACCCTGGCTGTTCGAGACTGCACTCTGGTCAAGAGTGTCGGTCCTGATCGATCGGTTTGCCTTGCCTCTCCTTGCAATAAACTGAACGTCTCTGGTGCCCGTAGCATTCTGTTTGAGGAGTCGTGTGGATGCAACAGATACAGTAATCGTTCTTGATCTCTGGACCCCTATCTGATGTCATTGGGTAGTTCATAGTTGTGTGAGGCATACAGCTTTTTATTGGCAAGTTAGATTGATTACTTTTCCATCATTAAAAAGACAGGCATTTAGTTTAATTGAACGTGAAATAATTTGTTGAATAAAAAAATGTCTAATTAGTTTAAACTAGACTAATGTTGATCAGAAACTACTTATTGATTTATGTTTCTTATCTTTTCTCTGGTCAATGTCTTGTTCCAAAGAAGCGAAAAAGCAGTAGCTGTCAACCCTGTTGCACCTCAGAATCATGGAGGTGGAAAAGGGGTAGAGAAACGCTTTAAAAATTGCCCAATGCAGGCCCTAACCTAGAGGGACCAAAGTCCCAAGTAATTCTAATGTGTAGGGAGGGCTGTATATAATTCCCTGTAAGAAAAACTACAAGCCCCGAAACCCATCTAATAGTTTGGATTTTCTCCATAACGCTTTACTTCAGCGTTAATAGGCGCGGAGTAACATTTTCCTGAAGTGCCTGAGGCTAATGCTTTCGCGGGGAGATTGACGGGACCGTCAGCCAATCGGCAGTCTGAACGAGTCTCGACGGTGCCAGTAAGAGGCAACAGAGCAACGCACTTTTTTTCAGTAGAAACACTAGATCGTAGTAATAGAGGCCAACAAACCGAAAAAGTCAGGGACACTCTCACCAGCGACAGCGCGGAGGGCCGGGGGCCGGGGACTGGAGAGAGTGGTGTACACCCAGAGGTCCCAGCCGCCTCGCGTTGCTACAGACGCTATTCTTACTTCCGGGCGCTCGGCGCCCTCGCGGTGCGTCACTTCCGCCCGGCCGGGTCGAAGCGACATCCTCTTTTCTTTCCCTTCTTCCTTTACCTGGCCCCGCCCCCCGGAAGCTTCTATGGGTCCTCGCCTGCGGGTCAGGGGTGAGAAGTAGTGCTGCAGAACGGACCCTGGTGAATAACTTCCCTGAGTTCCACTCCCCGGCGGCGCGAGTTGGAAGAACCTAGGTGAGATCTCGGCTAACGGCGCTGCGGGACTGTGCGGGTCCTCGGGAATCTCCGCCGTCTCTGGCTCTGGGGTTTCCCTCTCCTGGGCCTGCAGTTGGGCGCGCGGGAGGCTGGGGTCCTTGTCTTGCTCCTTAGTCTCCTCTCTCTCTAGGTGAGGTCCGACTCAGGTTACTGCCACCGATACCCTTTCTCCTGGAGTGTGAATTGGAAGCAGAGTAGCGTGTACTCTTGGTGATGGCAGGGCTGCTTTCTAAAGTAGCAAAGTGCCTTAGCGTTCATTTCTCCTCCGTTGAGCTCAAACCCTTGGAAGCAGTTTAGGTAGACAGAATATTTGTTTGCCTCCACTGTACATAGGAGGAAACTGAGGCTCTTGGAGAATTCCTTGAGGGCAACACAAGGCTCCCTAAGAGGTAGAATTGTGATTCACACTCAGATCTAGGTTCTGTAGCGTTGCACAAAATCACGAGGAGAACATTTGGAAATAGGGGAGAAACTAAATATGAAAAAGAGAGCTAGTATTTGAGTTCTTCGTGTCAGGCATTATGGTAAGTTCTTTCTAGACGTATTAATTCTTTGTAAGAGGCACAGTAATTCCTGGTTTAGGAAATTGAGTCTCAGAGATGATACATGACTTATTCAATATTAATGCTTTAGCGGATATTTCCCAAGTGTCTTTCAGCTCTGTGATTTTTTCCAGCACAATAGAATTAGGTCCTGTCCTGATCAAACTATTTTTCTGATTCTGGCATTTCAGGAAGTGAAATTTCTGGCATTTTCCCTGGTCTCTTCATCCTTTGCCCATTGTCTTATTTGTTAGTATTCTGTTTAGAAATTGGTAGTTGTGTAAATTCAGCCCTGACTCTTACTCTACAATTTACTTTTTTCTTTCCAAGAGGAGTTTGGGGATTGTATTGCTTGGTATGAAATGAATGGATTTAGGTTTAAAAAGGCTGGCTGGAAAATGGCTAGGTTTTACATTATAGATGGTCTCTTTATTGTTACTCTTTTTGTATATCTTATCTAAGTTTCTGTTGGTTGGTTTGTTTTCCCCCTCTCCAGGAAAACTGCTGTCATCTGGCGCCAAGATGTCCGGAATTGGAAATAAAAGAGCAGCTGGAGAGCCTGGCACATCCATGCCTCCGGAGAAGAAGACCGCTGTTGAAGATTCAGGGACCACAGTGGAGACAATTAAGCTCGGGGGTGTCTCTTCAACGGTATGTGGAAACAGGGCTTTGAGAGTGTGCTTTTTTCTGAGTTGCAACCTGAAAGTAAGAATTTATGGAAGCTTTCTGGAAGGCATTTTATGGAAGAGAAAACTTACGGAAGAGAAATTTATGGAAGAGAAATTTATTTGAAAAGAGGGAAATAAAAGAGCCAGAAGTAGGTGACGTGCTGTGGTGGTCAGCTCTGAAAAGAGATATATTAACATTTGATGTTTATTTTCAGAGGTGTGCTTCTAATCTCTGGAGAGTGTGGTGCTTGATACATATTGATTATATGCATTTATCAGCGGGAAATCTGTACATTCATTCTTCATTCACTGAAAAGTTCGGTGCTAGTTACTAAGAGGCAGTGTAGCAAAATCACTGAAGGGTGGTGAAGGATAGGAGTCTGAGGCCAGACTACCTGGAATTGACTCGGCTTCACCACTTCCTAGCTGCATGGCCTTTTGTTATCCTCCCTGTGCCTCTTCTCCATGTCTGTAAATGTAATTCTAGTGCCCACCTATTGGGTTGTTGAGAGGATAAAATGAAAGAGTCTTTGTTAAGAGTTAAAACATTACCTCTACTTTAGTAAGTACTCTATATATGAGCTATTAATAATTATTGGGCTAGATATTATGAGTATAACGGTGAATAGAGTAAGACACTGTCCTTGCTCTTAGGGAGTTGACTGTTTCATTAAATTGTTATACATCAGAAGCTTATAGTAATGTTATATGTCCATTAGACATCAGAAGCTCACTATAATAGGTTTGGATCTAGATCAGGAGTCTATTCTGGAACTCAGCAATGGGGGTATGGTGTTAAAATGCTTTGCATTTGCATAGCTTATAAAACCACATCTTACTTTTTTGAATTCAGGCTCAGGATAGAGAGAATAATGGGAACATTCAGAGTAAATTGTTGATGAAGTGTCATTTCTGAGTCTGTCAGCGATTCAGGTACTCCATACTGCTGCCAAGAGGTGATTTTGTCTAAGCACTGTCTCACATCATGCATCCCAAGGACATTTGTTAATTCAATAAATATAAGTATTTGTTGTGCATCTGTGATTTGCCAGACACTACGCGTTACCCTGAAGACAGCTGTTGGACTTCAGTTTGTAAAGTGGCACAGACCAGAGAACAGAGTGTTCTAGTATTTATGAGTGGGATATGTGCTGTTCATAGGGATAAATAGCCACATGCTCCAAGGGAAGCTGAGAGGATACATCCTAGTTTGGACTTTATCCACAAGGCATTGAGGAGTCATTGGAAGGTCTTAAGTGGGAGAGTAACATGCTCTGACTTAGCTTGGAGAACAGATTGTAGAGGAGCAAGGGCTAGAAGTTCAGTTAGCAGAATTGTTCCCTTGTTGCTTCTCCCTCTTCTTCCCATTTCATCTAAGTGTGGGGAACTGGGGCTTGTCTCCACTGATTCGTGCCCCAGTTGGTTGAAGGTTGCCCTTAAAGGCAATAACTCTTCCTCTGCACTTCAAGGTTGCCGTAGTGAGCCAGCTGAGATTGTGTGGAACAAAAAATGAAGACTCCAGGTGTGCTTTAAGTCGGAACACTGGTGGTGCTAATGGAGCTGTCCACCAAGGCTGTGCTGAAGTCTGGCAGGCTGACAGGACATGACATGAGACACAAAAGTGTCCACTATAGAAGGCTGTTGCAGTCATTTTGCTGAGGGATCATGGTGCCTTGGGTCACTGTAGTGTAGAGGTAGTGTTGACAGGATTTACTGATGGATTGGATGAAGTTTATGAGATCCCAGAATTTTGGAAGTACAGACTGTTCACATACTGAGCTAGGAAGTAGTATGAGAGAAGCATAGTTTTTGGGAGGCTGCGGAGGATGAATTAGGAGTTTGATTTTGGACATGCAAGTTTGGGATACTTAATAGACCTCTGAGTGGGTAGGTGGTTGGATACAATCATCTGTAGTCTAGGGAGAGGTCTGGGCTAAAGCATTTGGGAGTCATCATTTTGTAGGACGTATGTATGTGTGTATTTTCATGTTTATGTATTTTTGAGAGAGAGAGAGAGAGAGAGAGACAACATGAGTGGGGAAGGGGCAGAGAGCGAGAGGGAGACACAGAATCCAAAGCAGGCCCCAGACTCCGAAGTGTCAGTACAGAGCCTGATGCGGGGCTCAAACTCCCAAGCCATGAGATCGTGACCTGAGCTGAAATCAGATGCTTAACTGACTGAGCCACCCAGGTACCCCATGTAGGAGGTATTTAAATCCATGAGACTAGAGGCTCTAGGCTCTGAAAGCAGAGCCCTGGAACACTGATTTTCATGTCAGGGAGATGAGAAGAGACTAACCAAAGAGACAGAAAATGAAGTAGGAGGAGAACAAGAGAGTGAGGGCCCAGAAGCCAAATGAAGAAAAGTATTTCAGGAAGGAGTTACTCAGGTGCTGCTGATGGCTTGAGTAAGGGGAGCTCTGGGTAAAGGGAGGACTGAGTCATTAGGTTTAGCAGTAGAAGGTTCTCAGGAGCCTCAGTGAGAATCTTGTTTGTGGAGTGATGGTGCTAGAAGCCTGAATGCAGTGAGCTTAAGAGAATAGGAGAGGAGAGGAATTAGGGAAAAGGGGATAGAGCCAATGATTTGCAGGAGTGTTGATAGAAAGCAAGACAAAGAAATGGGGCATTAGCTAGAGGGAAATGTGGGATTGAGGGAAGCTTGTTTTGATTTTAAAATAGGAGCTATTAGAGCATGTTGATTGAAATGATTTGGTAGAGCGGATTAAGCTGATGGGGTAGCAGAGGAGACTGTTGCTGGTGCGATTTCCACCAATAGGGGAGAGAGCATGTGATATAATGCACAACAGGAGGGCTGGCCTTAACTAGGAGCAGGGGCAGTTGATCCGTAGCAACAAAGAGGAAGGCAAAGAGTTCAGATGTAGGTAGGTTGGTAGCTGCAGTTGTGGGAGATAGATGTGGACATTCTCTTCTGATTGCTTCTATTTTTTTTTCAGTGAAATCAGAAGTGCCTCATCTGAGAGTGAGGATGGGGGAGGAAGTGTTGAAGGTTTGAAGAGACAGGAGAAGGTATGAAGTAGTCATCTTGAAGAGGGAACGGACTAGAAAGATAGAGTATTGTTGCACTGAGGACTTACTTGACTCTGTGATCATGAGTTTAAAGTCAGCCCAGGCAGCATGGTGCTTTGTTTTCTATTCATGTTCAGCTGCATGGATGTGGGCCTGGAGTAGTGGAGAGTTGGATGTTACCAGGGGTGGGGTTTTTCCTAGGCAAGGGTGAGGAAGGAGGGGGTTATGGAAGACATGATATTGACTGATTGTGGAATTCAATGCCAATAAAGAAGGGAGTGAGGAAGTGAGAGGAGTGAAGGACAGGAAAGTTATGGGGCAATGGATTGTAGATCCTGGGGGAGGTGAAGAATTGTGGGAGTCAGGAAACTAGAGAGCATGAGCTGGAAAAGTAGGTGGTAATTGTGGAGAAATTGAGTTTACAGAGAGCATACACATACAGATCAGGCTAAGAATAAGAATAACTGGGAGTTTGGTGGCCAAGGGAGGTAGAAGACCAGATCATTGGAGGAGCGGAGGTCAGTGACTTGATTTGAGATACAGGAAGGATCATCTATATGGGAATTGGAAATCCGTGAGGACTATGACAGCAGTAACATTGGAGAGTGATAATCTAGGTGCTAAATCTTCAGGAAACGTGGGGAAGTGACCTGGGCATTTCTAGACAAGTGCAGCAAGGCAGGGTGGCAGGTGGGGCAGACCAGTGGCACGAGCTGCAGAGCTAGGAGGTTTTAGGGAGGAAGGTGGGATAATGGGCTGAAAGTGGCAGTGGAGAGCAAGGGGGTACCTACCTGCCTCTAGGCCCAGAGTGATACTGGAGAAACTGCAGGGAAACAGTATTCTCATCCCGCTGTCAGAGCAAGAAGGGGAAAGGAGTGCTCAGTGAAGAGATCGAGGATTTCATTTATTAATAGTATTAATGAACTGGTACAGTTGGGAAACTGTTGACTCTTTGGGCGTGTCAAGGATATTTTAATCAAAATACAAGAGAAAATAAAAGCAAAACAAGAAATTGGTGTTCTCATAAACAGTTCTTACTTTTTGAAATACTCATTAATTCCTAGGTAAGATAAAAATGTAATCCTCTCCAATGCTGTTTCTTTGCCTGGGGTCCTCCCCCACCCTCCACCACCCCCACCTCCAGACCCCAACT